GGAGTCAGCTCACTCTGGGGGGCAGGATCCCCAATATGTGTCTTTGTTCCTTCATGGTCACCATTTTATTATTGGGCTGGGGGTCATAGCCTGTGGCCCAAGTCAGGTCCAGCTACCCATCCTCAATAAGCCAAATTAATAGCAAAAAGCAGAAAAAGATTATTCAGTGTGGCCACATCGAGAAGAGGGACAAAGGGATCCAGAAAATCCCTCAAGTCTACCATCCTCACCTGCTTTCTTGATTATAGCCGTTTTGACTTTGGTGAGAGGGAGTCTCAAAGCACTTTTAATTTGGATGTCTTTAAATTGTTGAGTATCTTTTCAAATATTTATTGGATATTGAAGATTGTCTACTTATTTCCCTAGCCCATTTGTTGACTGGATGAGTTGGACTTTGAGTGTTTAGATTTTGCAATTCTCTTTATGTCTCTGATGTTAACTCCCTTTTCTTATTTAGTTAGCCATAATGCTTTCCTGATCTGAGGACTGTTTCTTCATTCTGCAGATTGTTTGTTTGCTGTGCTGGAGATTTTAATTTCCTATAATCCCATTGCCAATATTTGTCATCATCCTCTGCTATTGGACTTTTTTCAGCAAACGTTTGCCTGTACCCGTGTTTCCATTTTGGGGTCTTGATTAAACTCATTTTCTCTGCCAGTTAAAAAATTAAAACTCAAGAAAAACTCAAATGCAGAAGTCATGTATGTGTATATTCTGTATTTTAGTAATGTGACAAATTAAAGTTTGGCTTAAAGACAAAGAGATCAGATTAATGAAATATACATGGATTTAATCACTGAGTATTGGGATGAAAAAAATTCTACATGTAATATATCACTCATTAAACCTATGCTACATGGATTTGTTAAATATCCTAAACCACTCAAATAACTAAAAACAGGCAGATTTATTTATAATTTTCAAGTGGAGAACTATTTTAACAGCATAAAAGCATGGTAAAAACTTTAAATGTTCAGTTAATTTACAATTATAAATATTGATACAATGAAATATTACTCAGCCATTACATTTTTAAATTATGAAATTCACAGGTAAATGGATAGAGCTAGAAAAAATATTATTCTGGGTGTGGTGGCCCAGACCTAGAAAGACAAATATGGTATATATTGACTGATTACATGGATGTTAGCTGTTAAAGTCTTCATTACACAAGCTACAATCCATAGAACCACAGAGGTTAGCTACAGAGTAAGGGACTAGCAAGGAGGGATGGATGTCCCTAGGAAGGGGAAATAGAGTAGTTACGGATGAACGAGGTGGGGACTGGAACGGGAGGATTAAACAGGGGAGGGGAGGGAAAAGAGGGGTGAGGGGAGGAATATGAAGAGGAACAACTAGACACCAAGGGCCATCTGAGGAGTCAGATGGCCTCCTAATACAGTAGAAGTGTCTTAAAATATACATGTCTGTGAAGGTTATCTGAATGAAATTGCCAAATAATGGGGGAGACAGAGTTCTAACTGGACATCACCTGTCACCAAATGAAGCCTCAAGTGTCAGGAATGGGTTACATCTAATTGAGTTGTTTGCCAAAGGGGTCCCACATGAATGCCCACACAAGCCAGGCTATTTCCAACCTCACAGTAAGGCCCTGTTGATGAAGACAGCACCTACACAACTCATGGAACACGGGGAAGTCAAGTTGGTGCCTACCTAGAACCTTCACCTCTGCTGACTAGTACTCATGTTAATAGAAGGTACTCTGCACACTTCCAGAAGGGAAAGGCAATCAGTAACTTAGCCTCAAATTCTTCAATTTAAAATGATAACCTGTCTGCAAGATTTGCTAGTACAATAAAGACACAAACTTGTGTGAGTAACCAACCAATATATGATAGGATGTAAGGACTAATCAATGAGATGGAACCCATGCCTGACATTGCTTGAGTCACCAGGAACCTGAGACTAGATAAGCTAGGGACCTAGAGTAAACCCAAACACTATTGTTCTCCTAAAGGAACATAGCAATGAAATGACTCCCTGATGACATTCTGTTTTACTCATAGATCAGTGACTTGCTCAGCCATCATCAGAGAAGCTTCCTCAAGAAGCAGAAAGGAACAAATACAGAGATCCACAGTCAGATAAAGTGCAGAGTGAGACTTGAAACACTCAGGCCTAAATGGGATGTCTCCATCATATCCTTCCCTCAGTGCTCAGGGAACCCTAAAAAGGGAGAGGAGGAAAGAGAGTAAGAGTCAGAGGGGATGAAGGGCATGAAGGAAACAAGGCCCCGTAAGCACGGGAGTGTTGATACACATATAAACTCACAGAGACTGGCAGCATGCCACTCACTACTCAGTGGTGCTGCGCTGTGTGTCAGAAGACAGAGTGGGTGAATTATTGTGTAATGAGTTCCGTATACATGTTCATGAAGTGGGACATCAGTTTAAGTAGAGATGTTCATAACAGTCCTATAATCAGGAGCTCTATTCCAGGAAAGGGAGGATGAAAGGCTCAGTTGTGGATAGATAATATCATCTAGAAAACTGGATTTTCTGTTCTATAAGCAGTTACCTGGAATATTAAATGTGTGCTGTAAAAGTCTGAATAGAAACTGTGTATGCTTTATTGTCCATAAACTTGAGCTACTTATGTACAATTATGTGTATGGGAATGGGATAGTGTTCATGACTTATATCAATATCATTATATGGATGTATATTTATTAATAAAGTCATCACTTTTTTTGGTTTTTTTGAGACAGGATTTCTCTGTATAGTTTTGGAGCCTATCCTGGATCTCGCACTGTAGACCAGACTGGCCTCAAACTCACAGAGATCTGCCTGGCTCTGTCTCCCCAGTGCTGGGATTAAAGGCGTGTGCCACCACTGCCTGGCTTAAGTTATCACTTAACTAACAAAAAAAAAAGAAAGAAAAAGAAAATAAATTTGTACTATGATTTAATTCAAAGAATAAAGGAATCAAGACCAGAGCAAGTTAAAGAAATTATATAATCTTTAAAACCTTGATCAATGTAGTAGTTTGAATAAAGTTGTCCCCATAAGCTCATAAGGGACTGGCACTTTTGAGACATGTGGCCTTGTTGGAGGAAGTGTAGCCTTGATGGAGGAAGTGTGTCACTGGGGTGTGCTCTGAAGTCTCAGAGCTCTATCCAGGCCTAGTGTGTCTCTCTCTTCCTGCTGCTTGAGGATCTGGATGTAGAACTCTCAGCTCCTTCTCCAGCATCATGTCTGCCTGCATGCTGCCATGCTTCCCGCCATGACAATAATGGAATTAACCTCTGAAACTCTAGGCCAGCCCCAATTAAATTTTCTCCTTTATAAGAGTTGCTTTGGCCAGGGATGATGGTGTCCCACGCCTTTAATCCCAGTACTTGGGAGGCAGAGGCAGGTGGATCTCTGTGAGTTTGAGGCCAGCCTGGTCTACAGAGCAAGTTCCAGGACAGGCTCCAAAGCTACACAAAAAAAATCCTGTCTCAAAAAAAAAAAAAAAAGAAAGAAAGAAAAGAAAAGAAAAAAATTAACAAAGAGTTGTTGTGGTCAACAATAAAAACCCCTAATTAGGACAGTTAATTTAGATATGTGTAATTCTGATTCACATAATTGTAGGTGATTTTCTGTTGCCTTGGAAAGTTCTTCATTCATATACTAGATAAAGTGAGTAGAAAATTTTTAATTTTTTTCTATAAAACTTGTCCAGTTATTCAACATAGAACTCTACTGTTTTGATTTCAGTTGTTAATCATGTTATGCCAAACTGCTCACTGCCAACGAAAGCAAAAAGAAGCAATGTTATTTACAAGTGAGTTTTTCTCAAATAAATTCTTTGTTGTTGAAAGTCTTCATATCACTAGTTCTCTGTCATTTTAAGAGCTTTTGAGCTGGATGTAGTGATCAGAGGCAGAGGGGCAGATGGACAGAAGGACAGAGAGATAACAAACACCAGGATGCTCACCATCAGGACAGCAACAGGCTGGTTGGTCGCCCACGTGACTGATCCAGCTGGCCAGCATAGGGCAGCACATCCCCACCAGAGTGTTACCAATCAATCAAACACTGAAAGGTGGTACAGATGCTGGCCTCCTAACCCATCCGTTTGCATTTCATGTTTGCTCCCAACGAGCTACTGTTAAATGTTTATGCTCTTAATTTATTTTTATTTTTTCTATTTTACTTTTTATTGAAAGTGGACGTCCCTTCCCTGACTCTTCTGAAATTTTCCCCACCACCCCTCCCCTATCCTCATCCACACTATTTCTGTCTCTCCTTAGAAAAGAAACATGACTCTGCAAAACAGTAATAAAGCAAAAAAGAGTAAGATAAAACACAAACAAACAAATCAGAATGAGAGAAAACAAACAAACAGAAGAAAAAGAGCAAAAGAAAAATCACAAGAAACACATACAAACTCAGAAGCACACAGGTTCAGGCACAGACAGGAATCCCGTAAACACACAAGGCTGGAAGCCATAATACGTACACAAAGAACTTGTAAGGTTAAGAAGAAAAGAAAAGGAACAAAAGAAAAAAATGGCAAACATTATGACCTACAGAACCTCCAAAGATAGCATTGAATTCGTTTTGCTTAGGGCATTTACTGATGGGCATAGTGCCTGCGCTTAAGAGTGCTTTGGAATCGCCACTGAGACTATTGGAGAAGACTACGTTTTCATTTGTGAGTGACTGGAGATACCTTCTGGGTTAGAGACGGGGCTTGTGCCGAGCAGAAACTCTTTTCATGTATTGGGCGCTGACGCAAAGGAAGAGGGATGCCTCAGAGTGGAGCCTGAGAGGGGTCTGTAGGAAGGAGGAGAGCTGGGTCTGCTGCTAGGGTTGGTTGAGCACCCAGGGAAAGGAGGAGAGTGAGAGTGAGAGCACAGGATCCTGCAAGCAGCCTGCTCCAGGTCTTACTGGGACCAGAGGAGTAACAGAGGACAGGAAGGAGAGCGGAGACAGCCTATCTGCAGCCCCGGCTGGTGAGGACACTGGGTTGCCAGGCAGAGAGTGTTTCTCGGTATTAGCAGCTCATACAAAGGAAAGGCTACCGGCTGGGGATGGGGCCACTGAGGAGGTCCGCAGGAAGGGAGAAAGCCGGGTCTGCAAGCAGGTTCAGCTGAGTCCCCACAGAATGGAGACAGACCACTGCAAATAGTCCAATACAGGGCTGGGGATGAGACCGGGGAGATTGCAAGGTAAGACGGGAAGGGAGTGAAGATTGTCTACCTGCTTCCCAGGCCTGCATGGCCACCAGGTTTCTAAGTGGAGAACGTCTTCAGGTACCGGTGGCTGACACAAAGGGATGGGATGAGGGAAGAAAGCCAAGTCTGCAGCAGCTTTGATGGAGTCCCCAGGGAATGAGGGTAGAGGAGGAGGACAGGGCCCTGCAAAGTCTGCTCCAGAGAACAACCTCTAAGAATCAATTCTTTCCTTGAGCATGTGGATGCCAAGGACGGGACTTGGGTTGTCAGCCTTGGTGGCGAGTGCCTTTACTTGGCCTTATCTTGTATCTTGGCCTTACTCTACCTTTATTTTATCTAGTTCGTTTATTGTAAAAGTGCCTTTTGCAGCAGTGGAAGGTCCTGAGAGATTGTGAACTGAGTATATTAACTCAATTTCCAAGGCTCAAGGTTTTCTTCCTCAATGATGCCCTTCAATGCTGTTTGCTTCTATTTTCAAATGTCCACATCATCAGGCTTTTTGTTTTCTACAGTAACTGGTGTGTGTGTGTGTGCATGTGTGTGTCCTATTCTAAAATGTTCTTTTAGCTATTCACCATTCTCTAGTCTCCTGTTACCTACACAAGCCCCTCTTAAATAATGATTCTCAGGTTCCCATAAATTATATAATTTGATCCCTCAAGAGATTTATAGTCTGTTTAATGTGTAACTCTTCCTTGATAAGGGAATAGGACATAATGCAAGGGTAACTGAGGCTTCTGAGCATTGAGACTGCCCTTAAGTTGCAAGCTTGCAAACTAAGGCAATGTTTGTAAAATAACCCATGTTGTAAGAACAGATTAGTTCAAAATGTGGAAACCAATGGGAGTAAACTACTTGGGGTAATGCACAGTTCAGCCAAGAATTTCTCATTTTGTAATATGGATTGTCCTTGAACTGGGCGTTTTTAGGGTCATTTAAGATACTTGGAGCTTACGTTTATGAAAGGAGACAAATAGAGAAAGAGATAAAGAATGCAACTGGAACTCGATATAAACAACCCACATATGATAATGGATAGAGAAGGCAAACAAATTCATTCTTGCACTTATGAAACTTTTACTAAAGTTTGAAATGTTATAAATATAAGGAGGCTTAGGACCATCTAATAGATGTCATACATAAAGATTCAGAGTCATTATGAAGATACTTAATAAAAAATTTAAATTTAGTGTTATATATGTGTATGATGTGTGTGTGTGTGTGTGTGTGTGTGTGTGTGTGTGTGTGTGTGTGTGTGTACATGATACTGTACCACAGGGCCCCAGACTTTAGTAGGAGCAGACACCTTAGCACAACTGACTCCATGATGGAAGTACCATTCAGGCCATAAAACTCAGCATGTAGACAGCACCACCTGCCAAAATGAAAACAAAGACCTAATCCATCAAAGTCCATAGTTCTAGGAAAGTCTCTAAATATACTAACCTTACATCTTGACTTCTGTAGTTCTGCTTCTGCCTAACTGTCCTTGGTAACTGAAGTGCGTCAACCCAGGACTTGGTTTTTGTGCTTAAAAGCTCATCCTGAGAAAGGCACAGTGCTACAGTGGGATCCCAAGCACCCAGCGTAGTCGCCGGCCAGCTAAAAAAGACTATCTGTTGTCTTAAACCCATGTCCGAGCAGTCTTCTCTGGTGAATACTCCACAACAATTGTGTGATATAGAGGTCAGAGGACAACTTGCTAGAACTGGTTCTCTCCTTCTAACACAGATTCCAGGAATCAAACTCCTATCACCAGGCCTAAGACCTCAAGGCCCTGTGTGTTGCAGATGCTCACAGAGGTCAGCAAAGGGTTTCGTTCCCCTGGATCTGGAGTCACAGGCAGTTGTGAACTGCCCCATGTGGGTGCTCAGAACTGAACTCCGGCCCTCTAGAAGAGCAGGGACTGCTTTCAACTGCTGAGCCGTCTCTCCAGCCTGAGGAAGTTTTCAGGGTACTTCAAAGCCATCAAACCATCAGGTCCATCAATATTTTCACTTACGCATCCACGTTGGGTTGTTTTTAGGAAGGTCTGACTTACAACACTGGACATATATGTTTGCTTCACTGACCTTTACAGATATTTCAGGTTTTTTTTTCAGTTTTAAATGTTTTATTTTTCCGGAAAATTAAAGTTTCATTTATACAGATATTAATTTTGTTTCTTTTCACTCATACTGAATATTCAATGATTTTATAAAATAATTTACCTGTGACTTGACACATTTTACTTATTTGAGCAATGTTCCCAGCCACAGACAATGCGCGTTTGTTTTGTATTTCAGTGATGCAGATCAAACCCCAGGCCCCTTCCATGCAAATCAAGTGTTGTACAACTGAGCTACAACCCTAGTTCCAAACACACAATTCTTCTGACTTCATGGGAGTTCCAAAGCAAACTCTTTGACCTGTTCCCAGCCTAGTCATACGCTCTATGGAATCCATGCTGGTGGGAAGCTGGAGAGCATCAGGAAGCCACTGTCCCAGCTGGCCAGTGAGCTGGAGGGGAAAGCATCAGAACAGTATTCCCTGGTCACATAGGTGTACCACATTCGTTGTCCGCTATGATACTTTTTTACATTACATAATGAACTCTGAGTTCATTAGACCTCAGCCATGTCAGAGGTTGAGAAGTCTGCACTTGCTTTCAGTTCTACTCTGTTTTTTATCTTCTTTCCCATACAATATGATCTGACTCTCCCAAAGCAGACAAGAGTGTCATGAGCCCTGCTTTGTTACCTTTAGCCTTATTCGTTGAAGACAGGCTCTCCCATTTAACCCGGAGCTCACTGGTTTGTGTCTTTCAGCTAGGCTGGTGGCCAGCAAGCCCCAGTAACTCTCCTGTCTCTGTTCCTCACAGAGCTGGAATTAGCAAGCCCAGCCATGGGTAGTCAGAAATTTCTCCGTCCCACCTAGCCCCACAGTCTGGACGAATCTCTCCCACCCAAGTTCTCGAAGCCACTTAGAAAATAATCACTCAGAGGCTTATATTAATTACAAACTGTATGGTCTATGGCTCCACCTTATTTTGGCTAGCTCTTGCAACTTAAATGAACCCATTTCCATAAATCTGTATGTTGCCACATAGCCGTGGCATTACCAGTCTGCTGACATCTTGTTGCTCCTATGGCGGAGGGCCAGTGTCTCTCCTCACTCCGCCCTTCCTCTCTCTGTATCTCTGCTTGGATTTCCTGCCTGGCTGTAAGCTTTTTTTGCCGTAGGCCAAAACAGCTTTATTTATTATCCAACGGGAGCCACCCATATTCACAGGATACAGAAAGACATCCCACAGCAGCCATGCCTTGTGGGTTTTTATTGTTGTTTTGTTTTGTTCTACATAATGCTGAGTACCCCAAACTTAAACCCTTATGCTTGTGCAGAAAGTGCCATTACCCACTGAGTCATCCCCTAACCCTGTGACACATTCCTTGGTAGATGGGGAAAGAAATGTCCTCTTGCATGCATTAAAGCATTAGAACAAAAAGTGCCGCCATCAATATGGAATGACAGGAGGGTAAAGAGAGGAACGGGTAGAAATGAAAGCCAGTCTAGATGTTCCTCAATGTATGAGAGGACTGGGTCCCAGTGGCCTGCAGCTACTCTCAAATGTCCTAGGCTGACAGTGCATCTGACACACCCACCTTCCTGGACAGCAGAGCTCAGCGACACAGTGCACTGTGCAGTTCTAGAGTTTTCTATGACTATGCTTTATTCTGGATACTGGGACCCAAAAGAATTGCATGTTGGGACTTAGAAACATAGCTCCATGGTACAGCATGTGCCTCACATGCACGAGGCTGGGTTTGCTTCACTAACCCTGCAACATGCATCAAGGTGCAGAGAATAGGAGAGTGCAGAGCGACCAGCCCTAAGTGGAGAATGTGTACTGCATACCCTCCTCCAAAGGCCCAGGGATCATTGTAGAAGAGGGGGCAGAGAGTGTGTCAGAGCCAGAGGCAGTGGATGACAACAGGAAATGGTGTCTTCTGGAAACAGCAGTGCATGCAGCTGTGCATATGCTCACACTGGTTGTGACACCACACACAAGACCTGTACAACCTGAAAGCAGATTGAATCCAAACATGGAGGCATTGGGCAGGAAGCTCCATTTTTCACCGTGGAGCTGTAAGCTGCTGGGAGAGGAAGTTTTCTTTAAAAGTATAGGCCCTGGTAAATCAATGGAAGACCACACACCCAAGAATATTTGGGCAGTATACATTGGCCTTGATTGGTAAAAGAAATAAAAAAGAACAAAAAGACACAAAGTTGGGTGCGAGGGGAATGGGAAGAACTGGGGAAGGGTGGATGAAGATGGTCAAAACATATTTTACAAAATTCTCCAAAGGAATAATAAAAGTTCAATAAAATTGGAAAGAGGAATAAGTTGCATTTGAGCCATGGTAAATTTGGGACCATTGTGCATATGAGTAAATGTGTTGTTTCAAATCACAGGGCCATTAATCATAAACTTGTTGCATAGTCAGTGTGGGTGCAAATAGATTAATTCACATATCTATCATCAATGAAACTAATATTCCTGACAAATGAAATATCCAAAATTGAATAAAATACCCACAAGGGTTACAGACATCATCACATACTGTTTTATAATATTCCTGTAATAGACTTTTTTAAGCAAGACAATTAAATTGGATATCTTAGATTAAAACATTGATATGATGATCTAATTTCTGTGAAATATTTTAAGTGGCCATGATTGTGGCCAAAATAGAAAGTTTAGTGTATGTCTTAATACCCTACTCAGATTTCTTTTGCACTGATACTTATTCATGATTTCAGTCCTTTGTTCTATTGGGTTGTTTACTTTTTTGGGGGGGGAGGGAAGATAAGTTTGTAATTATATTTATGTACAGAAAACTTAGCAGTGTACATTTAACCCAATTTAGTGGCGAGTTCTTTGGCCTTTGCCTTTTCCAGCTTGGCAGATAGAGCCACAGATTTAGGACCCAGGACGTTGCCTCCCCAGTGGCGGC